GCCGCGCGCCCCCGAGGCGGCGGCGGCGGAGCCGAGGAAGCAGCAGGGGGTGAAGCGGCATCACCACAAGCACAACCTGAAGCACCGCTACGAGCTGCAGGAGACGCTGGGCAAGGGCACGTACGGCAAAGTGAAGCGCGCCATCGAGAGGTTCTCGGGCAGAGTGGTAAGGCGGGCAGCCCGCGACGGGCGCCGCGCGGGAGCGGGGCCGCGTGCGGCGGAGCGGAGCCCGCGCGGCGTCCCCGGGCACCCAGGCACCCAGCACCCCTGGCTGCTCCCAAACGCGCCTCCGTGCGCGCGCGAGCCCGCAGAGCCGCTTTGTTTATTTATCCATTTATTTATCTGCGCAGAAGTGTTGCGGCTATACATCATTCTTAAAAAAATATAATGTACGTTATTACTATTGGAATCACAGCTCTTAGTTTTTATTCGCTCCCCTGGGTGCACTGCCCCGCTCATCCTCCTTCTCCACCACCTGGAAATGGGGGCTGTCCCGAGCCCTGTCCCGGCCCCGAGCACGGCCGGGCTGTTGGAGCCTGGCACTCTGCTCAAACGCGCTGCCCTCCTTCCCCGTGACCCGAGCTTTGCTGGCACCCACAGAAGCAGCGGGGGCCGTCGCCCTTGGCGGGGGCTGCAGCCCTTCCCGGCCCGGCAAGGAAAGCGGCCCCGAGCGCGTAGCTCAGCGCCGGCGCTCCCGCGGCCGAGCACAAAAATGCGATTGAAGAAATGTACACATTGCTCAGAGTTATTGTCATTTTTCCTTCGCTGAAATATGTAACCAGTCACAGCGAATGAGAGGCACGCGTTGCCTTAAAGGCCGCCCGCAGAAACAGATGCTTTTCGGGAGAGCTCTTAACGCAGCCTTTCAGACAGGGTACACTAATTGGTTTTTTTCACTGGACCTTGTAGAAAAGCGAGGCATTTCCCTGGTGACATTACAGATTTTGCTTCATTTTTCTTTTCTTTTTTTTTTTGTGGTGTTGTCCGCAAGCTGAGCGTGACCCCAGAGGCAGAAGCAACTGTAAAACAGCAAAAGAAATCTGAGATGCAGTGGCTTTAATCAGGGCCATTTACTTTGCAACTGAGTATCTTTGTGTCGACAGTGAAAATGAGAGTTTCAGCCAAGTTTTACAGTCATATCATGTATGCTTTCAGTTTATTAGCTCATTTGGAGGCTGGCTAAAGAGAAACCAGAGATGGACATCTTTGCACATGCTCACTCCGAGTGTAGGAGTTTTAAAGTTTGCTCTCTTGGCTGTTCTACAGTTTCAGGCTAACAAAAGCTCCTAGGCTATATTATTTACTAGGGATCCGTTTATAGGTAGGTAACTTGGACGTGGATTACACAATCTAGCAAATAAATATATTGAAAACACCCYTTTTTAAAGATTTGGTCAATTAGGCGGAAAAATGGACTGTGGTTTAGAGCAGATACAGTTTTGGGAAGGGTTTGCTTGGAGCTCAGGATGTAGTGTAGGCATATCTCCGCTTGAAGCTAACAATATCCCTGGTCTTTCCATATTTTGTTACCTGTCAAGGTACAGCTCATGATGCTTAGATGGTGGTAGCTACACAGCTGCTGATGACAGGATCTGAGCAGAGTTTATGTGGCTAATATGGTCTTGGCATTGGAGAGAGTGAAAATGAAAATACTCCCAGAATCTTAAGTGCAGTAAAAACGTAACACCCACTCTATCAACTGGTATGTAGAAACTAAACAAATCCTTACGGGGGAGTTAGTTTTATACTGTCGTAATACAACCCTTGCCGTATGGCACTTCATAATTATTAACTGGGCTGCAGTTGGGTTTGGGTGTAGTGTTTCTGTTTGAACTTTCACATCTGTGAGCGTGTGTAAAATATCCGCATTTTGTCTGTTTACAGAATAAAAGCTAGTTGTCAGGAGCCCGGCCAGACCTCAGTGAGCAGAAAACGCTTCTTGCTTTCTGATGGTTTCCTTGTCTGGCTGTTACAGCAAACATTCATTCCCTGCAAATTGCTTCCTGGTGGAGAGCAGAGCGCCCTGACAGCGAGTCTGGTCGGAGAGGGGCAGAGTTTTCCTTCAGGTTTTGTCCTTCCCCTGCCTTTCCTCTCCTCTGTTCCGACTAGTGGCCGGCATTCACAGCGGGAACACGCCTGCCTGGCTGCCGCCGCGTGTCCAGCAGGGGATGCACAGCGAGAGCAGCGTGGCMGGCACAGATCCTGCCTGCGCTTCCAATGCAAATGGCCTGAAACCAGGAGGCAGGTAGCAAGAGTCCCAAGGTCACTCTGGTCTGGCCTGTTTGCCTCCCGTTCTGCTACTGCTTTAGCTAATCATCTTTTTCTTTGCTCAGCGGCAAGCACATATTTTGAAGCTGCGTGGTAACAGATTGCAAACCTGGACCTTGGAAGCGACGCTGTGTTCCCAGTAGTCAGCCCTGTCCAAGTTATTCTCATATTTGGCCTCTCCGTTTTTTTGCTCACTGACGATCTCTTTAGCTGTACAGYGTTTTGCAGAGATATTTGCATGATTAGCCAGGCTTTTAATAGGAAACATGAACTTTGGATTTGCTGCCATGTGTATGGCTATGATAAAGAGCTCAAGCGCGAAACAGAAATTGGCAAATTTGAGTTAATGAAAGGGTGAGAAGACAGTTCARTCCGAGGTACATGTATGCTTTGGTCTTGTGTCACTGAAAAATCAATAGCAAGATCCCTCTTGATTGGAATGGAAGTAATACTTGGCACTCATCGGCAGGTTATGTTTATTTGAGCTGTTATAGTTTCTTTATCTTTGCTTTTATCTCACTGAAATGCGATCGTAAAATTTCCTGCAGTAAAGCCCCGGGGTAGATTGTATGATATATTTAGTTTGTTATTGGAAACAACGTAGGTGAATTTGTGTATTTGTTACCACAGTGACTGCAGCCCGTATTGCGTGCTGCACGAAGCAGTTAAAATAATGCCCAGCACGTGATGGATGAGGGGCCCGGTTTTGCCAGCGAGGTTTCCTTCATTAGGACTGGCTCAGCGTCCGCTTATGACATTTTAAATTAATGCACCTGTTAGTAAGTGAAAGCACAGAGGGATGATATTGCGAGCCTGCGAAGTCGCGCTCGTGTCCACGTTTCTGCGGGTGTTTTTGCYGCCTGTCCTCTTGCCCGTGTTAAAGCTAAGACCTGAACTGTTGCTCGTGTTGTGCATTCGGCAGCCAAGAAACCCAGTGACACTCAGGGCGGCGCAAGACCCGCTGGATGTTGAAGAAGGGCTGGATGTTGACGGTCTCTTGCACTTGCTGCAAGGTCTGCTAGGAAGGGAGATGCTGCTCGATGCTGTTGTGAGTGAGGGGTCCTGCTGCGTAAACACTCCTTGCAGCGCAACTTGAAATTACACCTAGTCATTCCCAGCCTTTGTATCTGCTTTTCTTTGTGCTGGAGCTGCACAGAAGGCCCTGCCTGGTGTCGTGTGGATTTCTGTTCTTGTGAGCTGGGCGGTGTGCAGCCCTGTAGGACGGTGTGGACAGGGGCTGCGAGGAGGCCTGTGGAGCCACCAGCCCCTAGGCCAGCCCTGYGTGGCCCTTAGGATGGTGTGGGCAGCGGCTGTGGGGAGGCCTGTGGAGCTGCCAGCCCCTAGGCCAGCCCTGCGTGGCCCTTAGGACGGCGCGGGCAGGGACTGCGGGGAGGCCCGTGGAGTCGCCAGCCCCTAGGCCAGCCCTGCGTGGCCCTTAGGACGGCGCGGGCAGGGACTGCGGGGACGCCTGTGGAGCCGCCAGCCCTGCTTGGCCCTTAGGACAGCGTGGGGAGTGGCTGCGGGGAGGCCCGTGGAGTCGCCAGCCCCTAGGCCAGTCCTGTGTGGCCCTTAGGACGGCGCGGGCAGGGACTGCGGGGAGGCCTGTGGAGCCACCAGGCCTGCGTGGCCCTTAGGACGGCGTGGGCAGCGACTGCGG